GTGATGAAAAATGTTGATGAAAAATGTTAGATGAGGGAGTAGTTCGTGTGCAGAATTCAGAAAGACTGAGCAGGATCTTTTAGGGACAGCCTTTATTTGCACTTCATTTGTTTTGGCATCTATCCCATGTGATCTCTTAGTACTACTTTGCTCAGGTAATTATATTTTTATCACTTCGTTCTGCATTACAGTTTAAAATACAGTTCTCCGTGCTAAACAACCTGTGTGACCTTTCATGGCTGCTCAAAGGGCAGAATGGAGGAAGATGCACCAAACTGTTCTTCTAATTTTTAAAGTAATTTCTAAAGGTTGCTGTTGACTTCTTTGTTTAAAATGTTTACATGCCTGCCTTTCTCCAAGATAAAGTTTCCTTTGGGTTATTTCTTAGAAAACAAATTGTGCTCTCGTAGATTTCACATCTCAGATCTGATGCCATGTAACGGTGGTAAACGATAAGACGGTGGCCACAGTCCATTAGGCAACTTGGCCCCAGTGGGTTTAAGCGACTTGAATTGTGTGCAAGGGGGGGAGGGGATACTGTGCAACATCTAGAGTGTTTCCCTTGGACGGGAGAAATCTAAGTTCAAATCCATGCTTGGCCAGGAGAGTCAGTGTGGTGTAGTGGTGAACCAGGGTCAGTGGGACATTATTTGCCCCCATTGGTAAGTTGTATGAACAGCATTCCCTGCATGTGCAGTTCCAAAACGGGTTAATAATGCCCCTCTAGGCCACTTCAATTTGGGATGTTGGGGGGGGGTGTTAGAGGCCACTCCTCCCCTCTGCTGCAGTCCTGATCTGAATTGGAGCTCCTGCAGTGCTCTGAAAATCAGTTTCCTGCAGCTGCTGTGTGTAGGGTTGCCAAGTGCTTACCCGTTCTGGAGCGGGGGAGTCCAGCCTTGCTCCGGGAGTCTTCGCATGCGTGCGCCGCAAGCACATCACACGGAGGTGACACAAGCACGTCGGGGACGTTGGGGGCGGGGCCACAATCATCCAAGGGAAAACCATAGAGTGTGACGTGCTTTGGGGTGGGGTTCCCCCGGGGGCCCGATCCGGCGGCGGCGGGGAACGGGCCTCCCGGGTGGGGGCTTCCCCGCCCCCCCGGGGGACTTGGCAAGCCTAGTCCTGGAGTAGGGTTGCCATCCTCCAGTTTGGTGTAGTGGTTAGGAGCGTGGACTCTAACATGTGTGGCCTGCATGGAAAGTGAAAGTGGGCCAGGAAACCCACACCCAGCTTGTTTAAAAACGTTACATGCTGTTTGACCCCACGAGTGCCATCCTAAGCTGACTTTAGACCCGTTGAAGTCAGTGGATATAGAAGGTCACTGATTAGGATGGCACGGCTGCGTAGGATGGTACTGAAAATAAATACGTAATGGCCTCTGGGGTATATGAGGAATCCTTTGCCTGGTCTGCCATGTTAAGTTGCTGCACTGCTGTAAGCGCTTTGTGGAATAGTTGTAATCCACAAGTATAAATGTTGTGGCTCCCTGTCCTTTCTGTTGGGCATTGTCTTATCATCAGTTACACCATCAAGAGAATATTTATCCTTTATTTTTAAGCAGCTTATAACAGGCACTGGACTTTTTTTAAAAAAAGTCCCAGTTCATACCTTGCCATCTGTAATAAAGCCCTGTATGACCTGGGACTGACATACCTGAAGGACCACCTTAACATAAGAACATAAAAGATGCCAATATTGGATCAGGCCAATGGCCCATCCAGTCCAACACTCTGTCACACAGTGGCCAAAAATACCAGGTGCCATCAGGAGGTCCGGCAGTGGGGCCAGGACACTAGAAGCCCTCCCACTGTTGACCCCACCCCCAAGCACCAAGAATACAGAGCATCACCTGCCCCAGCCTGAGAGCTCCTTCTCCCATAGGAGCCTACCTGCTCCCTCTGATCATCTTCCGAGTCTGCTTCAGTTGCTCTCCTCATCTAGGGCTAGATGGGTCGACCCAAGAAAGGGCTCTCTCGGTTGTGGCATCAAAACTTTGGAACTTCCTCCTTCAGTGTCTTCCACCAGCAGTCGATGACTTTTTTATTTGGTTTGGTGTATCCCCAGTAATGGTTATTGGCCTCCTCCCTGGCTCTGGTGCTGTATGGTTATGCGTTTCTATTGAATTGTTTTATCAGTTCAAACATTTTAATTGTGTACATGTTTTGTTGTTTTCATGTTTGCATGGGGGACCCTGATTGAATGGAAAGGCAGTATAAAAATATTTTGAAGAAACACTAAATGCAAAAAGGAAGGAAAAGTGGAAATATATACAGATCTGACTATTCATATTTTGACCCTGCTCTTTCTCCAAGGAGCTCAGTGTATATGAGAACCAGGCCTCCGTTTATTGTACTTTATTCTGAGCTGCCGGATTTTTTCCCCTCAGGCTTAGGATGCTGGTAGGAGTCCAGCCCGGCTTGTTGCCAGTAGCCTCAGCTTTGCCTGCATCGTGGCATAGCGTGACTCTGAGCTGATCTATGTAATAAGAGATTCTAAACATAAAAGTGAAAATAATAATAATAGTAATAATAATACCCCGCCATGTTCCACAAGTGGAAAATGGAAAAGTCTCTTTAGGGATTTTGCAGATTTCACCAAGATACTACTGCCTGTGCCAGGAAATGGTCCATAATAACATGTGAACCTGTAAATCCCCAAGATGGGAATGAATTATCAGAAAACTGGTTCACACATGCAGGGGAATAAACAGCAGGGTCACAGCCGACATGTGCAACAGCGTCTACATGGTCTGGATTTCAAGCAGCCTCCTGGTCAGGCTGCCTATTGTGTGAGTCTGTCCTAAGAGGAAAATTAAAAGCATGGCAGAGATTCCTTTCTTATGAGGGAAGACGGAGTGAACTGGGTATGTTTATCTAAGAAGAGATAATTAATGGATATTTTAGGTAACTTAAACCATTTAAGTGGATGTCAGGACAGAAGAAGCACCCTACCCCTGAGGAGGTGATGAGGAATACTGGGTTTAAAACGTAAGACAGATTTATCTTAAACATAGGCAGGGGTGCCTTCTGTATCTAGAGTCCTGGTCATACACATATTTAAATCACTTGAGCAAAGTTTGAGTCCAGTGGCACCTTTAAGACCAACAAAGTTTTATTCAAGGTGAGCTTTCCTGTGCACGCACACTTCTTCAGACACAATGAAAAGGAAATAGAAATAACAGTGATACATATAGAGGGTAGGAAGTGAATTAGCATGAACACAAGAACATAAGAGAAGCCAATGTTGGATCAGGCCAGTGGCCCATCCAGTCCAACACTACGTCACACAGTGGCCAAAAATACCAGGTGCCATCAGGAGGTCCACCAGTGGGGCAAAGACACTAGAAGCCCTCTCACTTATTTATTTATTTTATTAGATTTATATACCACCCTCCCTGATGGGCTCAGGGTGGTATACAACAGTTAAATATACAATTAAAACAGTATTAACAGTTACCCCCCCAAGCACCAAGAATACAGAGCATCACTTGCTCCAGACCAAGAGTTCCTATTTATACCTGGTGGCTAATAGCCACTGATGGACATCTGCTCCAGATGTTTACCCAATTCCCTCTTGAAGCCGTCCATGCTTGTGGGCAGTGAATTCCATGTGATAATCACTCGTTGGGTGAAGAAGTACTTTTATCTGTTCCAACCTGACTGCTCAGCAATTTCATTGAGTGCCTGCCCACGAGTTCTTGTATTGTGAGAAAGGGAGAAAAGGACTTCTTTCTTGACCTGCTCTCTTATAAACCTCGATCATGTCACCCCTCAGCCAGCGTTTCTTCAAGCTAAAGAGCCCCAAGTACTTTAACCTTTCTTCATAGGGAAAGTGTTCCAACCCTTTTATCATTCGAGTTGCCCTTTTCTGCGCTTTTTCCAATGCTATAATATACTTTTTGAGGTGTGGTGACCAGAACTGTACACAATATTCCAAATGAGGTCGCACCATCGATTTATACAGGGGCATTATGATACTGTCTGATTTGTTTTCAGTTCCCTTCCTAATAATTCCCAGCATAGCATTGGCCTTTTTTTATTGCAGTTGCACACTGTCTCGAGTCTCTCGACATTTTTAGTGAGTTATTTTCTATGACTCCAAGATCTCTCTCTTGGTCAGTCTCTGCCAGTTCGGACCCCATCAACGTGTATTTATAGTTAGGATTTTTGACCCCAATATGCATCACTTTGCACTTGGCCACACTGAACCCCATTTGCCACTTGCCCATCCTCGACAGATCCCTTTGGAGTGCCTCACAATCTTCCCTGGTTCTCACCACCCTGAACAATTTAGTGTCATCCACAAATTTAGCTGCTTCACTTCTTACTCCCAACTCCAAATCATTAATGAACAAGTTAAAAGCATCAGACCCAGTACTGATCCCTGTGGTACCCCACTGCTTACCACCCTCCACTGTGAAAATTGCCCATTTATACTCACTCTCTGCTTCCTATTAATTAGCCAGTTTTTGATCCACAAGTGGACTTGTCCTTTTATCCCATGACTATTGAGCTTACTTAGGAGTCTTTGATGAGGAACTTTATCAAAAGCTTTCTAGAAGTCAAGGTAGACAATATCTATTGGGTCCCCCATGTCCACATGTTTGTTCACCCCCTCACTAGCAGGTTAGTGAGACAACCCTTACTGAACCAATGCTGAGGCTTCCTCATCTGATGATAGCCATAAATTAAGCATATTATTCTTTTCATCTGTTAAAATAATCTTCATTATTCTTCATGCTAATTCACTGCCCACTCTCTATATACATATCACTGTTATTTCTATTTCCTTTTCATTGTGTCTGAAGAAATGTGCGTGCACCTTGAATAAAACTTTGTTGGTCTTAAATTTGCCGCTGGACTCAAACTTTGTTGTGCTGCTTCAGACCAACATGGCTACCCACCAGATTCTATTTAAATCACTTGTTAATCTTTATATGCTAATAGTATTGCACTTAAGGTGCATTTAAATAAAGTGGAATTACATCTGTGACACACCCATCCATGCTTGATGTTACATTCAGTGAGCAGCAAACATACATATCTGCAGGGGTCATTTCCTGCAGGAGCGCACAGGAGCGGAGCTCTGGCAGTAAAGAGCCCAGGGGGTGGGCACATGCAACAAGCCCCTCCCCCTGCTCCCAGCAGCCCTCAGTCAGAGCAACAAACAGCCAGGTAGGCTGCAGAGCCTGCCCCCTGGTCCAAAACAGTCCAGTGGCACCTTTAAGACCAAGGTTTATCCAGGTACAAGCTCTCCCTCCTTTGCGAGGACAGATCTGCATGCCCCCCCCCAATAGCTAGGAATCCAAAACAGTCCAGTGGAGCCTGAGCGGTGGGTGTTGCCTTCTGACACACTTCCGGTGATCGGAGTGTGTGGCATATGCAAATAAGTTATGCTAATGAGTTATGCTAATGAGCTCCTGCACCTCTTTTTCTACAAAATGACCCCTGCATATCTGAGTGGTCTGCTGCAAGAGCATTTCATTGCAATGGAATGAGCTAGCCAGAGTGGCTGTAGGAGAGGTTTTGCAGAGGTTTTCGATAAAACCTTCTCCTTTTGCAGAGGTTTTCGATAAAAATGTTGGATGGGACAAAAACATAGGTGCAGAATATGGGGGACTGGGCTTGGTGGGTTCTTCCAGTCACTGTCCTTGGTTGACTCTGTTTCAAATTCATTGCACAGGTGGCCCAGGCAAATATTTTCCACGACTGGACTGTGCCGTTTTGGAAGCCGTGTGGACTGCTGCTGGGGCTGGGTCCGCCATTCGTGGGGCCAATGCCAACGTGAGTATCGCCACTGCTGGGGCTTTGAGCCATTCAGATTGGGGCTTACAATCTTTCTCTTAATGGCTTTCACATAATCATAAACACTCACATGATGCAGGGCTTGTGATGTGTATGGGGCCTTTGCTTCTACCAAGAGGGACACTGGCAGGTTAATCTCAAGATGCCCACATCACTGTTCTGATATGAACCTTCCTCATACTAAGTCAGTTGGTCCTTGTAGCTCAGAACTATCTCTCTTCAGTATGGCAGAAGGTCTCCAAAGAAAAGCCTTCACCCAAACCTGCTACCTGATATCCTGTAGCTGCTGGGGAATAAACCCGGGACCTTCTGTGTACAAAACGGGTGATCTAACATTGGGCCACGGCCTTTGCTATTGGTAGGACTGCAAGTCACAACAATTAAATACCATGTTCAACAAAAATTAATCAATTTACCTTATTTCAATATTACTTTTGGTAACTTTTTTCAGATGGGATAGTTCATTTCCTCCCACAATGTAACTACTTTTATGTTTTTAAATTCTTAAAAAAAAAAAAAGCCAAGCAGTTTAACATCTCAAGCAAGTTAGTGGAATTTTTGTTGTTGTTGTTGTATAGTAAAATTGTGTGGTCCTCTTTGGAAATTTGACCAAAAAAAAAATGTTTCCCAAATTCCAAGCAACGTCAAGGGAAAAGGATTTTTAAAACCCAAATTCCAGTATTTAACCTGACAGTGTCCTGTCTTGTATCCATATATTAATAACATTTCTTACTTTCTCCTTATCTTATCAACTTCTTCAAGCACTTGAAAATAGTAGAGCTTAAATGCAGCCCAGGAAGTGCTGGGAATGCAGAAACACTGGCTTTCAGGATCAAACCAGCCAAGAAGCAGGAAGACTTATGAATGGGTTACAAGTGCCTTTTTAAATTAAGTAACAACACTGGTGGCCCCCAATTTGGGTTGGGTCAATAAGATGGGGAGGGTACCTTCAATCCCCTCCAACCTCAGGTGTCCCACCCATAGGTGCCACACTGGGGTTCGTTTTATGGAAAATGGCATAGGGGGAATTGGAACTCCCTCATTCCCTGTGTTGTGATCTAAATCATCCCTACAGCTGCTAGTTAGTGATCAAATAAATAGAATTTATTCACAGCTCTTCCAGGGCCTCATGTGGTTTAAAGTAGAGTTTAGACTAGTGTTACTCTGCCCAGGGTTACAGTGATGTCTGTTACAGGCCTGAATCCTGTGAAGACTTACCTGGGCTTATGTTTGTCTGCATGCATATTTGTGTGAATGTGTGCGAGATTAGATCCATGATTTATAGATTCCAAAATGGAAAGAAACAGGTGCAAAAAAAACCCCAACCCTGTGACATTATAGATGATCAGCCACACAGATTTCTGTACAAGCAGAAGAGAGTACATTTCGTCAAACCTCAATCTGTCATCCATGGCGTGATGGAATGCAGTTGGTTTCTGTGTGACATAAGTACTCATGTGCTGGCACAAATCTGCTTCTCTCGTGCCCAAAATAAACATTGTTTCTTGGTTCTGTTGATTGATGTTTGGCAGTTGACTTGAATAAAATTGGCATTTAACTCCTGTACTCTGAACATGAACAGGCAGAATCCAGCCAAAGTTAAATACTTCTGGCTGCAATCGTAAGGGCATTTTCCTGGGAGTAAGCCCCATTCAACAAAGTGGGACTTACCTCTAAGTAGAGCCACTTAGGAGGCATCCCTCTGTGACCCACAGCAGTTTAGTGACCCTTCCCTGAGCTTGGGACTGAATGACCTGGGTCGCCTATATGGTGAGAAGGATTCTATAGCCTTAGGTTATCATTCAGCAAACTTGAGTCACCTGTTCCTGGGTGTGAGTGATCTTCTGGAGGCTGAGGGGAAAGCGGCCTTTAATCAGTGTGTTCTTGAAAGCATTCCAGCAGGCAGGCTACTCCTATTGGAGAGCATCTAGCAGAAATCACTACCAGTTCAGGGGCCCCTGTCTTGATATTGAATGAGGTCATTTTATCCAGTTCTCTGGCAGATGAGCTGGAGGGTGTTTTGAGGTAGTGAAGAGCCATGAATAGCTCGATCTCATCAGAGCTTGGAAGCTAAGCAGGGTCAGCCACAGTTAGCACTTGGATGGGAGACCACCAAGGAAGACGGCAGTTGCAGTGGGAGGCGATGGTAAACCACCTGTGCCTGTCTCTTGCCTGGAATGCCCAGCGGTCCTAGGGTCTCCATGAGTTGCTTCCAACTTAACAGCACACAATTCAGTCCTAAAATTGGAGTCTCTGGGGGTGATGGCCTCATTTGCAAGAGACTGGTTGTCCACTGCCACAATTTTGGGAACAAGCCTAGGCGGACCATAGCTGTCTTCATGAGGAGAAGGGGTTGCTGTTATGGTTTAGCTGGGAATGCAGAGGCAAGTGAATAGGCTTTCCTTCCTCTAAACTGAAAAATGTGTGTTTGAATAGATTGCCCTCTAATCAGAAGAAGATTCTCCAGCCCCCTCATTTGCCTTTAACAAAGGCTTAATTTGCAGTACGTGCACATATCTACATCCTGAGCTACTGTTAAAGACAAATGAAAAGAGACTGGTAGAAGAGTTGGCAAACCAATGCCTGAAATCTAGAGTTCATTTGAAAAAAATCCAGTAAGAATTTATTCTGGGACCAGGATCAGAAACGGACACAAAGTAAGCAAGCAGATCTGTGCTAAGGCAACGAACACCATTGAATGTTATGTGAAATTGTCATTATCTCAGCTGAATCCAAGTGTCCGCAGTCGGCACTTTTTGTCAGCATGTTTTCCTCCATACAAAAATTGGCTTCTTCTTCTTCTTCTTTTTTGCGATAGTGGGGCTCAGAAGGATGCATAAGTGTTGTACACTAACTGTAAGAAAACAGAATGCAGGAGGCATTGCCCTCGATGTGAAACAGCTACATCTGCCCTCAGTGGTACCAACACGTACTGCTCCAAAAGAAGTCTGAGCATGCGCATGCACACACACACACACACACAGAAATCAAAATGGCAGGTCCTCTTGGAGTTGGGCAAAGAAGCTGTGAGCAAAAAAGGGGAACAGTGCTGGCTTTTTTAAGGGATATTTTTGTGAGCTTCAAAACACTGAAGAAGGATGGGGGAGGAGGAGGAGATTGGATTTGTACTCTGCCCTTCACTACCCAAAGGAGTCTCAGAGCAGTTTACAGTCTCCTTTCTCTGGCAACCCTACAATGAGCAGCAGCCACTAGTGGAACCTGCACCCCTCTGCCGTGGCCCAGGTCCACAGACTCAGAGGGCCCTTTCACATACACTAAATAGCATACTTTCAAACCACTTTCAATGCACTTTGCAACTAGATTTTACTGTGTGAAATGACAAAATCTACTTGCAAACGGTCACCGAAGTGGATTGAAACTGCATTATTTAGCATGGCCCTGTACATGACCCCCTTTTCCAGTGCTCCTGCTCTTCTGGATTATTACTTGGGCACTGGAATTTCTTGGGGTAATTATTCCTGCCTGATATGAGGCATGGGTTTTGTTTTTATCTACTGTTGCTGTTTATTGTTTTGGCATTTTTATTGTTTTTTATGTTGTGAGCCGCCCTGAGCCCCTTCCTGGGGTTGGGCAGGGTATAAATAAAATAAAATACATAAAATAAATGTGTGAAAGCACCCACTATGTTAGCCTGAAAAAAATATTCAGTGGTGCTGTAGTTCTCAAGTTTTAACAAGACCAAGGAGGGACAATAGCAACAGCAGATCCAAAATGGTTCCAGAGACCAGTTTCATGACAAATTGTCAAGATATTTTTGCTGATTTATTTATTGAAAACATTTCTGTGCTGCCTCATCAAAGAATGTGCTTGAAGTGGCTTACAAAATAAAACACTATTAAACAAGGCACATTTCGCAATCCCAGGCTTCGGAATCAGTATTAAACTAGGATTGCCAGGTGTCTTGGGGGGGGGGACACTTCTGTTTCTTTAACAGAGATATACTGAGATGTTGTTTTCCAAGTGATGGTATGATCATACCATGAAAAACATCAGCTCCCCATTACCAAGTATTAAGCTTCTGTTAAAGGGACAGGACATTTTTCTCCAGGCCTCTTGGCAGATCTAGCTCTAAACATGAACTGGAGTTGCCTCGACAATAGCTGGACTACTAATGGAATGTTGTTGTTCAGTCGCACAGTCGCTTGGCAGATCTAGCACTAAACATGAGCTGGAGTGTCCTGAACCATAGCTGGACTACTAATGGAATGGTGTTGTTCAGTCGCACAGTCGAGTCCCCATCTCATCCGTTGCCGTCCCCGTCTTCTTTGACCTTCGATCTTTCCCAGCATCAGGGTCTTCTCCCGTGAGTGCTCCCTTCTCATTTGGTGGCCAAAGTATTTGAGCTTCAGCTTCAGTATCTGGCCTTCCAGGGAACAGTCAGGGTTGATTTCTTTTAGGATTGACTGATTTGATCTTCTTGCAGTCCAAGGGACTCTCAAGAGTCTTCTCCAGCACCATAGTTCAAAAGAATCTATCCTTCGGTGCTCGGCCTTCCTTATAGTCCAACTCTTGCAGCCATACATGACTACTGGGAATACCATTGCTTTGACCATGCGGACTTTTGTTGGCAGGGTGATGTCTCTACTTTTTATCATGCTGTTTAGGTTTTTGCTATCACTTTCCTCCCAAGGAGCAGGCGTCTTTTAATTTCATGGCTGCTGTCACAGTCTGCAGTGATCTGGGATCCCAGGAACGTGAAGTCTGTCACTACTTCCACGACTTCCCCTTCTATTTGCCAAGGAATGATGGGACCGGATGCCATTATCTTAGTTTTTTTGATGTTGAGCTTCAAGCCCACTTTTGCGCTCTCCTCTTTTACCCTGAGCAAGAGACTCTTAAGGTCCTCTTCACTTTCTGCCATTAGAGTGGTATCGTCTGCATATCTGAGGTTGTTGATCTTTTCCCCAGCAATCTTAATTCCCGCTTGTGATTCATCCAGGCCAGCATTTCGCATGATG